GTCTGTCACATGAAGTTATTGTGTACTCTTCTTTATGCCCATATCTAAATCAAAAGAAAAAAAAAGCTAGATGACAAGAGTATCCAGTTTATCTTTATTGAATATGATGCAATGTCAAAGGTTTACAAACTCTTTGATCCAATAACAAGAAAATGACATGTTTCGACATATGGAGTTCAATGAAGGGGATCATTAAATTGGCAACACAACAAGCATATATATCTATTTAAGGAGAAGATGAAGAAAGCAAAGAGCAAAACTATACATCGCAACTAATTCCTAAATCTTTTAAAAATAATCTATGGTAGAAAAGAACTAGAAGTTTGCAAGAGATTGAAGAGATAACTAATGAGCTTAATCTCATTTATCTTCTTGCTAATCAAGAATAAATTTCTACAAAGGTATACAAGTTAAAAGATGGAGAAAAGCTATTGATGAGGTGATCAAATCCATAGAAAGGAATGAGATTTGAGAGCTTGTCCCAATTCCAACAGGTCAAAAAGCCATTGATGTAAAATGCATTTTCAAAATAAAGAAAAATGCTAACGAAGAAGTGGAACAATACGAAAGCAAGATTGACAGTAAATGAATACAAGCAACAAGTTAGCATCACTTATGATGAGGTATTTGCTTAGTTTCCCATTTGAAAACTAAAAGATTAATATTATCCATTGCAACTCAAAATCAATGAAAGATTTTTCAAATAAATGTCAAATCAACTTTCTTAAATGACATTCTTTCTTAAATGACGTTCTTGATAAAGGAGTCTATGTGTAACCTTCTATGAATTATGCGAAGGATGGGCATGAAGAAATAGGTTTGAAGTCAAAGAAGGCATTATGTGACTTGAATCTTGTACCTCGTGCTTAGAATTGTAGCATTAATTAAATTTCAAAACAAATATTCCGTACAATATTGTTGAGTCAATTTTATATATAAATGAGAAAGATAAAAATATATTCCTAGTTGCTTTGTATGTGGGTGATCTTATTTTCATAGAAAGAAATGCTCAAATGTTAAGTGAGCTCAAGCAAAACATGACTCAAGAGTTCAAGATATCGAACATAAGGCCCATAACTTACTTCCTCAACTTATAAGTAAAGAAAATGAAAGAAGATTTTGTATTACAAGAAGCTATGCATATAATATTGTCCAAGAACTTAAGATGGATTATTCTAACCCAATTAGCAACCCCACTAATTGCAAAATAAGGCTGTCAAAATATTATAAAAATGAGGTGGTGGATCCTATTCTATTTAAAGCTTAATTGGAAGCTTGACAAACTTCACATGCTTGTTTAAATATTCTCTATGGAGTTGGACTAGTTAGCTAATACATGGAGTCGTGCAAGGCCACATATTTAAAGGCTGCTAAAAGGATCAAGTAAAATCTAAGGTAAGAAATCTAATAGAGTCTTATACACTTCTTCTAATGATTTTTCAACTTCATAATTTTCTAGACAGTGATTAGGGAGAAGATATGGATGATTGAAAGCACAACGATATTTGTTTTCTATTTGGATGATATGGCATTCATATGGCTGTCCAAGCAATTGACTATTATTCTTTGTACTTGTAAATTGGAATATGCTAGGGGATCATCATTCATATGCCATGTAATTTGATTAAGAAGATTGCTCAAAGAAATGTGTTCCTTAACTAGAAGCTAAAAAAATCAACATTGCTACCAAATTGACAATCACATCAAGCAAGAATCCAGTCCATCATGAAGGGAGCAAGTGCATTGACATGTGATGCCATTTCATTCAAGACCAAGTTAAAAAGAAATTAGGCAGAACATATATATATATATATATGAAGAAAAATAATATAAGTCTGAGAAATTTTCGCCAAACCACTTGTAACAGATCCATTTCATAAACTAAACTCAATTGATGAACCTTTCAATAGTAGAACTCAATCAGCAAAAGTCGTGACTGCTTTGAGACAATATCATCTCAGTGAAGTCAGATAAAAAGATGTTCGAGTAGTCCCAAGTTGTCAGCACCTCATCAATCCTGCCAACAGCAACACTAAGATCCTACAATCTATTAAAAATGTCATCCCTCCCCAACAACTCTTGTGGCCTTGATTACATAGAATATGGGAGGAATGATCTAGTTAGCACCATATAACATAAAACTTTCCTATCCTGTTAGTCTAAATTTAACTCTTCTCTCTACACAATATATAAAGGAATAATTTTGTGTTAACCAATTCATTCCTAAAATGATGTTAAATTCAAACATGTGAATCAAATTCAACGTTGACATAAAAACTATCTTCATTAAAGAATTCAACAGGAACATACACAGTTACTAGCAAGTTATCTCCCATCAATAGCAAGACTGACAACTAGTTTATAGAGGTTGGGTAATAATTTTCAAAACTTCATTTACTGACTTTGAGATGATAGAGTATATTCACCAAAAAATCATCAAGTGAACCAAGGTCTGTCATTACAACAGAATTGTCACCAACTCTCATTCTACTTGAGCTTCTCACAGGCTAATTGAATATAGTCGGCTTGAGCAATTGAGTTTTCCCTGGCAACTTGATTACTCCCATCGACTTGGTTCCCCATGGACTCCTGTAGCCACCTAATGCTCCTTACCAGTAGGTCAGCTATCTAGTGTTGATACGAAAAGCTCCTACTGAGAAAATGCATAAAATTGCCAAAACTCTTACACTAGTGAGGCAACGCCCACCATAACATTACCCATAATTCAAGTAAATAGCACACCCCATTAGCACCTTTTGTTTGTTTTACACTAGCATCGCCCACTCCACTAAATCTATAGTCTTAAGGCATAAAAACAACAACTATTGTCGGAAATAATCCCAAAGTCTCCTTCAGAAGATATGGCAATGTTGGTCCTATGTCAACACCATTTCTAGCATGTAACGAGCAAAGTTCACAAACCTTATTTTCTATGATGCACAGACACGGAAATGGGACACGGAAATGACACGACACAGACATGGGACACGTCAATTATTAAAAATATAGGACACAGACACGGGTTGGACACAGTATTATAATTTTATATTTTAAAAATAATATATATAAATTGAATAAATATGATTTTTTAAAAAAATTAAAAATAATAAGTCATTTAACTAAAATTTATGCTTAGAATAATTAATATTAGAATATCGAGAGTCAGGCATCGATGCCGTGTATTAGGCATTGAGAGAGGATGCGGCAATGTTGTCAAGAATCGGGCATCGAAGTGATGTAGTAAGTATTGGGCATCGATTTCAAAAGGGCGTCTATCATCAATGCTGGGAGGGCATTGATCATCAATGTTAAAACGACGTTGGACAAAGATAAGTTCACAAGTTGTGGGTGTAGAAATTGCAAGGGTCGAGCATCAATGTCAAGATAGTATCAGACTTTGATATTGAGATGGTTGTGAAATGTTGATATTGTAATGAAGTTAGACGTCAATGTTGAAGTAACATCAGACGTTGTTGTGAAATCAAAGTCGTGACCGGCCAAAGAGAAATAAAAATGAGAATTTTTTATGAATGAGATATTGAGTGTGGGGGATTGATTTAGAATTGTGGATAAGAAATAAGAAGTTTAGATTTTATAGTTTAAATAAATAAAAATTTTAAATACAAGAAATTATATTTTTTAAAAAAAATCATAAAATATTTAGTCATGGATGCTCTCACTAGACATTTGAAAGAGTTTGTAGCCTAGTGCATGCTTTTTGTTGATGATATTCTTATTGTTGATAAGACTAGAGAGGGAGTTAAGGTAAACTTGAATTATGGAGGTCAACCTTAGAGTCTAAAAATTTCATTTGAGTAGATCTAAAACCGAATATATGGAGTGTAATTATAGTAGTAATAGATCTAATGGGAGGATTGTGACTTTGGGCAATCAAGTCATTAATAAGAGTAAACATTTTAGATATCTTAGATCTATTATTTAGAAAGATGGTGAAATAGATGGCGATATCATTAGTAGAATTTAAGTTGGATGGTTGAAGTAAAGGAATGCGTCAAGCTTGTTGTGCGATTAAAAAGGCCACCCTCAAACTTAAGGGAAAATTCTATAAGATGATGGTGAGACCTACAATATTTTATAGTGGAGAATGTTGGCCATTAAAACAGAAGCATAATATTAAGTTAAGCGTTGCAAAGATGAGAATGCTCAGGTAGACAAGTGGCTTTACTCTTAGAGACAATATACAAAATAAGCATATACATGAAAAGGTTGGAGTAGCTCCTGTGGAAGATGAGATTAGAGAGGGTCATCTTAGATGGCTTGGTCACATAAAACGATGACCTTCCGATGACCCGGTATGGGAAGTAGATGCATTGGATTTGACTTATGTTAAGAAATGTAGAGGTAAACCTAAAAGTCTTGGTTAAAAAATATTAAAAATGAACTTTCTTTATTAGATTTAAATGAGAATTTAACTCTTAATATAACACAATGGAGAAAAAAGATTCATGTGGCTGATCCCACATAGTGGGATAAAGGCTTGATGTTGTTGTCGTATTGTTTTGCAAATAAGCAAGCTAAATGGAACATAAGCAATCATTTTAAGTTTACCCATTTTTGTTTATTTTGTATTGTTGTGTGAGTGCAGGGAAAGGACATTTTAAGTCAAGATGGAGGTGAACCCCCGAAAGCTTAACCCATCACACTTTGCTGGTTTTCAATAACTTTAAGGGAACATTACCTTCAAAATGAGAGAAGGAAAAAAGGAATATCATTAATCATGTTTTGCATTATATGTAATTATAAAAAGTTGAATGCAAAAATCGAAAAGCAAAACAAACACACGGAGGCCTCAAAGTTGGAAATGTATATCTTATAGGACATTCAATTAGGGAGTGACCTACATGGGAGGATAACCATACCCACCGTTAATCAAAGACTCTTCAAATAGGGTTCAATAGAGTAACCTCAGTGCAGCACAGATCATCATTAAGTCATGATGCCTCCAATGAGAAAATTCCTGGCACTCACAAGAAAACATCTACTTCTAATTAAAAGGGTCACATCTCCATGAAGATATGCTACATAATCCCAAGAATTTGTTCAATAATTATAGAAAGTCTGTAAAAATCTTGACTTCGACATATGCCCATCTTGCAACATGAAATAATTAATGAATTGAAACAGGCAACATCTATGATAGAATCTTGCCCTAATTTTTGAAACAGTTTTAGAATATCCCCAAACTTTTGACCACCAGCTAACCAACGTAACAGACGACTAATCAAATCCTGCATGAAATCATCTCTGATGGTCCCAAGAACAACGTCAATAGCCTCTTCAATCCTTTCTTCCTTATAAAGACTATCAATCAAAACACAGTAGGTGAACTTATTTGGAGTAACATTCTTCTGAACCATATCAGCAAACAGATTTATAACCTCCTTATTTTCTCCAAAAAGGTAAAAGTGATGAAGCAATGTGTTGAATGCTACAACATCAGGAACAAAACTCCGACTACCATTCATCATATATTTTGCCAGCTGAAGCTTTCCATCAGAGAACATACTCCGTATTATGAGAGTAAGCGTGCATGCATCTGGTTCAATCCCCCTCTTAACCATATCACTCAACAGACGCAAAACATTCGTAGACCAACCACGATCAAGACATCTACTAATCATAGTATTGTAGAAGATAACATCAGGGCTCCAATCCAATTCTGCGCTCTTCCCCAATAACTCCACTGCCTCCTGTAACTTACAAACCCTGCACAAACAATCAAAAAGTATATTCAAAGTTTCCAGACTCGGAAACAGACCATTACATCTCATAGCATCCAAAAGCCCAAATGCTTCACCAACCCTTCCAGCTTTACAGAGTCCATTCATATAAACGTTGTACGTGACCTCATCTGGCTTCCACCCCTTCACCTGGCTCTCACCCAAAATCCTTTCAACCTCATCAAATTCACCACTTCTACTCAAGGCATCAATCAATACTGTGTACATGTAGGTATCCGGAGCAAACCCATAGCTTTCAATCAAACCCATAAAGTGCTTCGCCTCCTTGATCTTTCCCTGAGAGCAATAGCCATGGATGAGAGAAGTACAGGCTTGTGGTGTGGGACTGCATTTATTGTCAAGCATGAGGTCAAGAACACCGATAGCTTCCGAGACTCTTCCAGCACGCGATAGCGCAGCAATGAAGGTGGAGTAGGTGATAGCATCTGGTAGGGGACCAAAATGGAGCATTTTGTCAAGGAGAGAGTAAGCATCATCGAAGCGATTAGCACGAGGGGAGGTGAGGATGAGTTTGAGGAAGATGGTGAAAGAGGAAGTAGTGAGGGAGAGGCCGGACGAAAGAAGAGAGCTGAAGGTTGACGAAGCAGCAGCGGTGTGATTAGCAAGAAGAAGAGAGTTCATTAAGGCATTATAAGAGGCAGTGGATGGACGGAAGAGGTGGCGGAGGAAGCGGCGGCCAGCAGCAGTGGGCTCGTTACTCGAGTGAGAGAGTGGGCACGAGGGAGGGAAGCGCGAAGGGGCAAGCTTGGGGCGGCGCGAGAAGGAGAAGACAGCAGAACGGAAGAGGGAGAGATAGTCAGAGGAGAGGGTATGCCGGGCGGGAGGGGCTGCAGAGAGGGTTAGACGGACGGCGGCAGCGTCTCGAAGACGATAATACGGCGATACTGATATATAGGGCATAAGGCATGGAAATGATGGGGCGAGGAATTGGGGATTCTTGCGATTTAAACTTTTAAGGGCTGTTTGGCAATTAGTAGGATTTAACCTGAATAGGATTTATTAAATCTTGTAAATTTGAATTTAGTAAATCCTGTTAATGTTAAATTTTGAAAATTATTTGGTAATGTAAGGGTTAAATTCTGTTAAATTCTCATAAGTTGTTCGTCAATGTAACTGAATTTAAGACGGTTATTTGTAACTTGACGCTGGAAGTCAAATTTCGTTGTCCGCTATTCCCCTCTCTCATGCTCTAAAATCTTAAATCCGTTGAACTACAGGATTTCGTAAATCTAGGGTTTATCATAAAAACAATTAGACGGGCAATTTATTCCGCTATACCTTCCAACGGCGCCATAAATCATGTTCAGCATGATTTAGTGTAAATCCTGCTCAAATCGAGCATAAATTCCTTTGTCAAACAGCCCCTAAGAAGATATTTAAATTCATATTTATATGTCTAATGATGATGATAATTGATAAAATTTGACAAGTATTTATTTTTTAGAAATATATACTTAAATTAGTTTCTTACTTATTATTTCTACTTTAGTCATGAACTATTCATGGGAAGTTTGTCATTAACTAAGTTAGTTCAAATTTGTTTGTATTTAAATCTTATTATAACCCAATTTAGACTACTACTTTCTTTTTTGGTCTTCCTAATCCCTTTTCAAAATAAGAATAGGAATGATAGAACTTTGTCGAAACCAAATTCCCACATGGTTTAAATCAAATTTGAGTCTAGTTCAAACTAATGATTCAAACAATTCAAACATGGTTTAACAAAATTATTAAGCAAAACAAATTAGTTGTTTAGATCTTTTGGAACTTAACCTAAGCAAATTATGACAAATATTATATAGTTGAGTATAACTAATCAATGACATTAATTAAAGAGTGTTATTAAATCGAAGCACTCATTACATCAATACAATTATAATGGTGTAACAATGATAATGAAAATAAAGTAGAAACAATCATGAAGGTAATGGGCGCACTTGCCTTTCAAGTAATCTTGCTATGGACTTTCACTCCATATAGATTGCACTTACATTGCACTGTAACCTTTTCTCTCTTTAAAGGGCTTTTGTTCAACTTCACCAATGGGGGTAGCACTACAATGTTTGTTATTTCACCTGAAACCTCTAAGGTGTTATCATTTATAACTAGATAGATCTTTTTAGCACATGCACCCAACCATGCATGCTTCATGCGTATAAAATTTTATGCATAAGCTATAATACCTAATACATCGATTCCGAGCAACAACCAATATATGCTCTCATGTGAGTCCATCACATCAAACATCTATATTTATACGTTTTTTATTATGGAGAAAAAGAGGAGATGATATAATGGTGTTCTCCTCATATATGAGATTATATAAGAAGAGATAAGAAAAGTGGTCCAACATAAAAATGACTTTATCCTAATAGCGTATTGTAGTGTCATCTATATCTCAGATAAATACATGATAATAATAAAGAAAAAATAGTATATAAAATTACTATAAAATTATAAAAGTAAATAAAACAATGTGTTGTGATAACTATCAAAGAATAAAGAACAAACTATTATAGATGGGTAAGCTAACTTATATATATACTTAAATAAAAATTTAAAAAAAAAGTTGAACTTGTGCTCAAACACTTAAATATATACTAAAATAAGGATGACAATAAGCTTTAAGCTTATGTGGTCCCCAACTCCTGATCATTACCACTTAGTCCAAATATATACCTTTTTTGCATTGAGAACATTTGCTTATGTCATATTATATATAAAGCTTTCTAAAAAAATATTAAAAATGAAAATTGGTACTAAATGAAGCTATCATTGCACAACAAAAAACACTAAACAAGTAAAAAGTATATCACATTGCGTATATTCATCGATTTAGTATTTTTTAAATTTGACCTAATGCCCTATAAAAGTAAAAGAGTAATAGTCGTATGTCTGGCACCTAGAAAAAAAAAAGCTTTGTGTCTTACTTCAAGTGTAGTAAATCAACTAAATAATCTTTCATAAGCTAGAAGCATCTTAACTAACAAAATAAACCAACCTACTAAGTCATATGTCGTGCGATGTAAAAGACTTTTTAGTAAACCGTCAACCTAATTACAACATATTTATGCTAAGTGACTAAAGGGTTATGAATTATTAAAGAATCTAAGTGTGTATGAAAGTATCAGTGTAATAGGAGTCAACTTATATAAGTGTGTTAAGCTATGCATTTAGCTCATCTCAAGGGATACAGCTAAATTAAGGCATTATTAACCTCATTTTTGTATGAGGTCACTATGATCTCTCCTGGACTCTAGACCCTAGGACTTCCTAGATCCTAGATTCCTTCTAGACTCTAGATCTTAGGATCCTTCTAGTCTCTAAACCCTAGAATCAATTTAGATCTTAGATCAATTCAAACCAAAATCTAGGGCTATGGGCCTAGGTCATGAAAGCATTTCCCAATATTTTTCAAACACTTCAAAACCCAGTCAACTAACTCCTGATTCAAGGTCTATCAATTGCATATTTATAAGACATGTCTCTGGGATCAGCTCTCCAAGTTTAAGCTCAACCTGACCCCTCTAACCCTAGAAATTGAATTGAAATCTAAAGGCAACATAACCTTCAAATATTTATGACCTATGCCACTGGAACGATCACCTAGTGAAAAATTTGATCTTGGAGCTCCATCGAAACCCTTTGATCACTTCTAGACCTTTGATATGGATATGTTAAACATCAATCTACATGTTTTTGGACCTATTTTGAACTAGAATCGACTAGAGATCAAAATGGTCATAATGCCCTTTTAAGGAGATTTTTAGACTTTTGACCAAAATTCAATCTGATTCAACCTCATAAATATTTGAAACTTTTTCCAATCAATTTTAAACATCACTTTAGACATTTTGAACCCAACCCCAGACTCTGGGTCAACTTGGGTTGACCTAAAATCCCCTTAAGGGTCAAAATAGTCATTTTGACTAAGATGATCTCCCCATTCCTTGGAACCACTCTCAGTACATTCAAAATGTCATTTCAAATATGTTGATCTCATACATAGCCCCTGGGTCAACCTAGTTAACCAAGTCAACCTAGGTTGACCCATGACCCATTAAAAGCCCAAATAGGTCATTTGATCCAAATAACCTTTCTAGACTTTGAGACCATACCCATTAGACTCCAAATATCCAAACAAATCTATTTGACCCAAAACCAAGCCTTGGGTCAACCTGGTTGACCAAGTTAACCTATGTTGACCAATTAACCCTTAAGAGGTTTAAATAGGTTAACTTAATCTATTTGAGCTCTCCAACCCTTATCACTCCATCAAATCAACTCCTTACCATGACCTAAGCATGACTTAGCACTTGGTCAAACTTCTATGGCATGTGTTCCCACTCATCATAGCTTTGACCTTAACCTTTGACCCTTGCTGAAGCTATCTCAAATAGCCCTTGCACCCCCCAAGTGCCACATCTTCAACCTTAACCTTATTTATTGGTCAAAGAAAGTCAACAAGGCATTTAGGCCCTTCTTTGAAGTGGTTAACTCTCTCCTTTGACCCCAAAAGCATTGACCCTAGGCTTGGGATTCACCCAACCTGCTCCTCATACTCTTTCCTTACCACCTCAGCATCTGTTTACTACCTGACTGATCAAGCGAGTCAATCCATCCCTAAAACCCTTTTCATGGTCAAACCCTTATAAAGCTCCACTTCCTCCCAGATCACATGCCCTAAGCTAATCCTATTAGCTTTATTATCCTAATTAAGCACTTGGTTTAAATAGTTTGGGAAATGGTTGTCCCCCCCCCCTCCCCATCTCCAAAAGCCATCCAATGGGAGCAAGGCCACTCTAGCCTTTGAGGCAGCCTTCCAATGGGTTGTTCCACTTGTCATTGATCTAGGGAGGGTCTCTAATCAATCAGGATCGTCCCTTTGAGTCTAGATCATTTTAATAGGGTAAAATCCCATTTTAGAGACACATTCAAGCATTACACTCTCTCACTTCTTCTAGCCTCCTAGACCAAGAACTCTTTTTGTTCTAACTCCCCAAGCCTCTCTCTACCTTCCCACTTCAAAATCAAAGTGGTTGCATGTTGCTGGCGGCAACATTTTTGACGAACCAAGCACTTATTCCTTTACAGCCCATAGCCATCAATCCAGACGTTCTTGGATCCGGATTTCTTTTAAAGATCTATACGTGGACAGTCTACAAGTTCAATCGTATAGAGACTTTGAAGATCTAACTGTATAATCTCCTAAAACCCTTAGATCTAGGTCATAATAGTTAGGTTTATTTAACTTTGTGTTAAGCATGTTTTAGACCATACAAATGTATCCCCATAGTTTCTATTCACAACCTTAAGTTGTGTTTAAAATTTCATGCATTTTGGTGTATCCGATTGAGAGAACGAGACGTAACTAGGTTTCTAGGGCATTTTTGCAATCCAGCCCAGGTGTACAATGTCAGCTGTTGATCTCATGTTCAACAACTGAGATTTCATTATACCATGCTTCGCTTCTATCGTGTATCCCATTGCACGTTGAGATTTTTGTCTGATTCAATCTGGGCCCTCTGTTCTAAACAGCAGAGGGTTTTTTTGCTATCTGATCTCGTTCGATCAAGAACGAGCTGTGGGATTCGATCTTCGTCGTTGGATGAAATTATAAGAGATCCTACGGCTATGGATCAACACTCGAATAAGTGAGCAGCGCATCTCAGCGCTGCATCTGGTAATGATTGTCATTGGACAATCATTAGCCATCAATGTCCTTCTGTTAATGTGGTTTTGATCCCACGACTCAGACGACGCCATTTAGCCTCCTATTACTGCGGGATTTATCTGATGCTCGAGATTAGGCTGCGTGGCCCGCCGTTAGCCATGCCAACATTTAGTGTATTTAAAGTTTTAAATTAATTTTAAAAACTATTTTTAAATATAGATTTTGTTATAAAAATTATAAAAAATTAAATCCTTATTT